TTATGCTTTAACTTTTCATAACACACACAAGACTTCTCTCTCTCAGACCTTAAAACGAACAAACTGCTTAACTCTTTTACTAGACAGAACTTATAACAACTGCTTTCACACAGCACTCTCTTCTGACCGACTCTGTTCAACTCAACTGTCATAACTAACAGACACACCAGATAGAAATTCCAATCATCCACACAGCATCCATTCCAAAAACCCTCCCCCTCTCTGTCAATCACCAATCACACCACATGCCTGTCCAGCATTCTACATTATCATCACACAGCCATGCAAACCACTTTTAAAGACACAAACACAAAAAACATGAAATCATTACAGTCACGTTTAAATGAACTCAGCCTGTGTTGCTTTCAGATGACGGGTTCTCTGTCAACCGCGGAGAACTATTCTGATGGCATTAGAACCAAGAATGTCTAGACTGGCCTCAGGAAATTTGAAATACAAGAAAAGCCCACCTTAGTCTGATGCAAGTCTGAGTTACACACAATTCCTCACCGGGGTGCAAGAGCTTGTGTCACTGCAGAGATGAACAAGAGGAAGATTGCAAACTGCCTTGCATGCTTAACAGCCCTGTTGAAAGGAAAACTTTAATAAAGGCCAGAGTTCATATCATCATTCCAGTGGTCCGGGTCAGATACAATGCAACACCGTGCTTTAACTATGGCCAGCTTGTGAAATCTGGATTCAGCTCAGAGTCATTCAAAGCTGACTTCCTCAAACAGACACAGCTGATATCCCAGTCTAGAATATTCACACTTGTATACATCGCGTGAAACAACAGTTAAGGGTTGGATGGATTAAACCAACATCAAATGATCCCAACAAAACATAGTTAGCAGAGTGACCCTCATTCAGATGACCACAAATTAGCATACAACTTAATGAAGACGTTTTGACATATACAAAGACTAAACAGCAAGAACAAGGGGGGGAAACAGTGAGGCAATAAATATGTCAAAATAGGAGACAGATATGTAAAAGTATCCTTCTTAATTGTCCAGTTTGGTGTGGTGGTTAAGTGCGTGGACTCTAATCTGGGATAACCAGTTTTTATTCCCCACTCCTCTACTTGCAGCTGCTGGATGACCTTGAGCAAGCCATAGTTCTGTCAGAGCTGTTCTTGAAAGAGCAGTTCTTGAAAGAGCTCTCTCAGCCCCACCTACCTCACAGGGTGTCTGTTGTGGGGAGGGGAGGGAAAGGAGATTGTAAACTGCTCTGAGTCTCCTTCGGGTAGTGAAGGGTGGGGTATAAATCCAATCTCTTCCCTTTTTCTTCTAAACTGATTCTGTATTTATGCACCATTTGTTTTCTCTCAAGCATGAAGTTAATTAACAACATCCTTTCCCCAGAGGTGGAGTGCAGCGTCATGTCAGAGAAATGCACTCCAAAATTCATTGCATTACATTCACCATTCCAATATACCATTCCAAAAAAACAACAACACTAAAATACAGAGGATATATAGACCTTCTTGGTGAGAACACATATGCAGGGACTGAATGAGTTTAGCATATAGAATGAGATAAGAAACCAGTATCCCTGTTGAGTCCTGGGGATGTCTTTGTTCCAAGTTGTAATAACTTGCAGTTCAGCAATTTCCCTTTCCATTCTGTTCCTGAAGTTCCTTTATAATAAAACAGCTACTTTAAGGTCACCCATTGAATGTCCTGGAAGGCTGAAATGTTCTCCTGGTTTCTCAATCTTGTGATTCCTGAAGTCAGATTTCTGTCCATTTATCCTCTGGTGTAGGGTTTGTCCTATTTGCCCTATGTAGAGAACTGAAGGGCATCGTTGGCATTTAATGGCATATACAATGTTAGAAGAAGAGCAAGTGAATGAGCCTGTGACGGTGTAGTTGATGTTGTTAGGTGATTGTGTTGTCTGGGTGTATGTTGCAGCAAAGTTGGGGTTGAAATATAGAGGCATCTGCCCATATATTTGAACTGTTAGCTTCCACTTCAATGTAGCCGGAGAAGTGTGCATGGACATGAAAGCTCATACCTTGAATAAACCTTTGTTGGTCTTAAAGGTGCCGCTGGACTCCAAATCGGTTCTACTACTTCAGACCAACACAGCTGCCCACCTGCACACTAACTTTAGCATGTGGTCTGTCAGGGTTGTCGACATGGTCATGTATTCGGCATGGTCGACATGGTCATGTATTCGACATGGACCAAGTCCGCGTGGTCAAAGCAATGGTATTCCCAGTAGTCATGCATGGCTGCGAGAGTTGGACTATAAGGAAGGCCAAGCGCCGAAGAAGGGGACGGCAAAGGATGAGATGGTTAGACAGTGTCATACATGCAACGAACATGAAATTGAGCCAATTTCAGAGGACGGTGGAAGACAGGAAGGCCTGGCGGGAACTGGTCCATGGGGTCGCGAAGAGTCGGACCCGACTGTGGGACTGAACAACAACAAAACAGAATAGCAGTAACTCGGCATTTCAGTGTGGTGGATTTAAGAGAGCGGTGAACCTTTGCATTCTGCTCTTTCCTCTGTTGGTCATTTCTCTCAACCTGATTGTTCCATTTGTTCTTCCTCTTTCCCGTTGTTTGTTCTCTTGCCTGCCCTCTCTTCTTTCCAACTCATGACCACTGTTCCCTCTAAGCTGAGTTAGTGTGAGCTAGCTCACAGTTTTTTAGACTCCGGCTCACACCTTTTTGTCTTAGCTCAGGAAGGATGGCTCCAGAGCAAACTAATTTATGCAGTAGCCAAATTGCTCGTTCACAACTTTAATGCCCATAGCTCACAAAGTAGAATTTTTGCTCACAAGACTCCTCGGCTTAGAGGGAACATTGTTCATGACTGAAGATGACGAGTAATGGTAGAAATTCTCCTTCTTCTCCCAGATAATCAAAACTT